TGGAGGCAGCGGCGCGGAGGCGGCAGCTCCCGGGAGCCGCGGGCGGCCCGGGCGCCACGTTTCTGCAGGCCAGGTGCGCGCGGAATGGGGACGGGAAGGCGGCGCAGGGCCCCAGAGTTTGAGAGAGCTCGCCAGGCTCAGGGGAACCGCAGGGGCCGGCTACTCGGAGGTCACCCCGGCTCGCTCTGCTAAATCCCCGCGCCACTTCCAAGTTTGCGGAAGCCCCCTGATCTGGACAGGACTGTGACTCTGCTCTGACTGACTCAGGAGGCTCGGGGGCCCAGGAAAGTGAGCCGGTAACCTGGGACAGCGGGAAGTGGCAGGCTCCCCGTGTTTGGGGTTTATCCGGCTGGGCGGGGCAGAGCCAGAGGCACAAAACCCGCTCTTGGAGATTTCCCTCCAGTCTGCCTCCCTCCACCCGCTCTACTGATCATAAGCATTCCCCGCGTGTCCCCTATGTTGATTAAGCACTTGTCATGAAAGTCGGAGCCCTCGCAGGTGGCAGCTAGCTAATCCTGGAGGGCTTTCTGGAGGAGTTGAGCAGTACAGGACTCTACAGAGGACACTTAAGGCTTGTTAGGCCGGGCATGGCGGCTATGTCTTTAATCCCACACGCAGGAGGTAGAGGCAGGTTTCTAGGGGGATGCAGGTTAGGTAGTGGCTGCATAGTATGCAAGAAGCCCAGGGTTCAATGCCCAGCACCGTAGAAACTGGACACGGTTGCCAGTGGAGGAATGTGAGGAAAGGCTTGGAGTGTGCTGGTGCTGGACAAGTCACAGCTGTAAGAGAAAATGGCAGGGGGCTGGACTGACTTCCAAACGCCCTGAGTGCCCCAGAGTTAGACGAGAAGGCCCTAAAGGAGGTATGGAATGTGGATGAGAACAGTCCTGAAGGGAGGCTGCTTTCATCCACAAAGTAGACTTACCTCAAACTAGTTGACTTGTTTAAAAAAAAAACATATACCCCGGAGCTGGAGAGATGGCTCAGCGGTTAAGAGCGCTGACTGCCCTTCCAGAGGTCCTGGGTTCAATTCCCAGCAACCAAGTAAACCACCTATAATGAGATCTGGTGTCCTCTTCTGGCCCACAGGCAGGATACTGCATAAATAGACATTGAAATTAATTAATTAATTAGTTAATTAATTAAAAAACGTATACCCCGTGTCCCACAGGTACCAAAGAGCCACGAGTGGTTTTGCTCACTCGCGTGCTCCACGCGCATTTTAGGATGTTCCTGGTGTGATTAGGGATGGTGGAAGAAGTTTCAGAGGCTTGGCTGAGGTTTCTCTTGCATTGATCCTGAAGAGTGTGGGGACTGTTTGCATTACTTGGAAGCCAATTTTCTGAGCAGGTGCAGTCTCAGGCCTGGTAGTTTTTCTCCCTGGTGATCATCCTATACGATTTTCATGGCTTAGTAACACAGTAGCCATCTTAGTTTTATCTTCTCTCTCATGTTTGCACTGGGACAGGTTTGCCTGTCGGCGCATTATTGAGCAACACGTCACTTGACGGTCCACTTATTCCTCTAAATATTACTTCGTCATCTCGTCTGATGAGAAAATTGGCCCAGAGCAGGCAAAGGAGCCTGATCAGATTGAGGCTCAGATTTTTACTGGCCAGAAGCAGTCCACAAGTTCAGCAGGCATTTCATAAGCACCTCTAGTATACCCTATGCTGCCCACTGCACTAAGATCAAAATGATCTTCCACATTTGGGACTGTCACAGCTGTTTGCTACATGTTATCTGGGGATTAATCTAAACATTGGAAGTCAGTATACAGTGTTCACAATATTTAAGCTGTCTTGTTTTCTGTTGCTTTGAGACAGGGTCTTTATTATGTAGCTCTGGCTGTCCTGGAACTCACTCTGCAGACCAGGCTGTCCTGGAACTCACAGAGATCCACCTGCTTCTGCCTCCTGATTGCTGGGATTAATGATGTGCACCACCACATCTGGCTCTTGGTTAGCTTTCCATTCCTCCTTGCTATTGTTGGTCTGCATTTCCTCATTTCTCATCCAAATGTCTCAGTCTCGTCACGTCTGGCATTTCATCGTCCTTCACAAAGAGCCCAGAGTCGGTCTCTTTCTATTCCCCGTCGCAGCTCTGTTTACTTCTCCAGACGAGCCCTCTTTCCTGCCATCCAGGGTTGCGGATGCTGCTGGGTGCTACTGGCTTCCCAGCTGTCATGGTGTGGGAGACAGGAAGCTGTGGGGCAAAGGCTGGGCTTGCTTCAGCTTACCCGGCACTGTGCTTTCCCTGCTGTCCTCGGTTCTGCCCATTGTTGCTCCTGACGGGGACCTAGGACTAGCGCAGCCTGGGAGGCTCAGCCTGGAAAGTCTGGAATCAGGAACTCGGGACAAGCTTGAGGTCACTCATCCTCGGGACAGGAGCGTGAGTGTCGAGGGGAGATCCCCTTGCCCTGTGTGATCTGCCGTCACGGTCGGAGCCCCAACAGAAGAAACCGTTTAGATGTTGACTAATTTTGTTTATTTTTTGCTGGTGAGGGAAGGCTTTTACTAGGGTGAGGAAAAGCACACGTACACAACAAGCACACACATACACTCACAGAGAGAGAGAGAGAGAGAGAGAGAGAGAGAGAGAGAGCTGCAGAACGGAGTGGGGATCCTGAAAATCCATGTCTATCAGCCTTGATCTCCAAGCTGTTGCTACCTGTTCTCCCCATCTGCCTTGCTAAGCCATGCTACACTAATGCCAGGTTCTCATGAACAGAAGTGCTTCCTGGGACAGAGGAAGAAATAGTTACTGAGCCTAGTGTGAGCCAGTACATTCTAGAGGCAGGCACCAAGTGTCCCCCTCATGGGCTTTCAAAATTCCTTTATTCTTTTTACCGAACATCCCACCTCTGTCTGAGTTGGAGGTTTCAGAATGAAACACCGAGGGCACTTGCCTCCTCCCTCCAAATCCTTCGCCACTCACTGCTTGTTGAGGCCTGCCCCAATGATCATAAAGAGGAAGAAACGGAACAGGGACTCTGTTGGGGTGCTATCACCGACCTCTGAGCAGGCTGCATAGCTAACTGGAGTATCTGCCCTGTCTTAGGCCTGGTCAGCCCCTACCATTTTGCCCTTCATGGGCCTGGGATTTCTACAGTGCTTTCCCTCCTGTTCATGTGCAGTTTTTCTTCCTGGTTAAAAGTGCCCACCCCTGCCTTACAGCTTTCTGCCTTCCTATCGGTTCTGCTTATTGTTCCTGACTACACTGATTCTTTTCTAGTTTGACCTCGAATGCCAGCTGGCTTATTATAATAATGTATAGTAACCAGTAATATATAGTCATCAGTAACATATAGTAATGAGGAAAGTAAGTTGTTGAGAGCACAGAGACCCAGGCTTGAGTTCTGTGCTATCCAGAACTCCTGCACTTTGGTGTCAGTCAGTGTGGTCTCAGCACCCTAGCCAAAGAGAAGGTGCCAGTTCATATGGTCTGAGGCATTCTGCCTTGTGACACATGAACACTCTGTACACACGCGCACACACACACACACACACACACACACACCTACCTTTTCTTTGAGATCCCTTCTTTTTCTCTTGGCTTTCTCTAGAGGATGGAACCTTGGCCACGGGCAGCCTTGGGGCTTGCATCCTAGAGAGCTCATTCCCCAATTCACCAAGCCCTCCCTGTGACTAATGAAGCATTACCTTTTGGGAAGAAATAAGAGTTAGGAATCAAGTGATAAAATTAGTAGTTCCAGCAGCTCTTTACTATGTGAGTGACAGTGACTAACACTGACCTCTGAGTCTTAGCATCCTCATCTGAAAGCACAGGGGACAGCTCCTGCCTCTGATGCCACTGCCTGGGGTTGGCTGAGATGGTACAGGTAAAATAGCATCATGCCCAGTTGGTGATCAGTGTGTGTTGGAGGGCACTGAGCTGGGGGACAGAGGCTGTGTTGACTTGGGGAATGCCTTGCCTTCTACAGGACCACTGATCCCAAGGGCCTGCCTCCCTGGCCCCGGGTGGCTGTCGATTAGCATCAGCTAATTATCTGAGGATCCCAGCAATTTATGAAAGTCAGCACTGATAGAGGACCGCCTTCCTGACGCTGCTCAGCTCACCTGTGCTCATAGGGGAGGGATCTGAAACAGGCCATGGCAATGGGTTTTAGTCAGCCTGAGCCAGGGACAGAGGTGACAGCTCTGGAGGTTGGGATTTGCGTCACCTCAAGCCTGGTCTGGCCACATACATAGGCTAATGAGGCTCCCCATCATCTTAGAAGTTAGTAGTGTCTTGTCTTTGGGTAGTAAGCATGCTGTAAGAGGACTCAGACTCTAAGGAGGAAGTTGGAGAGTTGGGGGAACCTTAATGCTCTCCTGATATGACTCTGGCTTAAGGCACCCACTAAGCCTGAAGACCTGAGTTTGATCCCAGCACCCACGTGGTAGAAAAGATAGCAGCCTTAAAACAGTCTTTTTTTTTTTTAAATTTTTTTCTTTTTTGAAACACAGTAATTTAACCTCCATATGCATGGCTTGGCATGTGTGCATGCTCATACACACAAATAAATACCTATTTGAATTTTACTTATTTATTTATTTATTTTTGTGATAGGGTTTCTCTGTGTAACCCTGGCTGTCTTGGAACTCACTCTGTTGACCAGGCTGGCCTCGAACTCAAAGCTTCGACTGGCTTCCCATCCCACTGCCTCCCCACTGTTGTCCTGCCCCCTGGCCCCCAGTGCTGGGATTAAAGGCGTGTACCACCATAGCCAAGCCATTTAATTTTTTTTCTTTTAAACTCTCCCCTCCTGAGGGCCTAGATGGAAGAACACAACCCCAGTCCCATGCTGCTATGACTGGCCTGAGTTAGTGAGGAAATGCTTGCTCCCTATAGGCCTAGTGTGGGTTGGGAAAGGCTTTCTCAGAGACGCCCTCCCATAGTAAGTGGCGATGCCCTTGAACTTAAGTGCATCTGTGAACAGCAGGGACCAACTGCTTTGTGAGAGGGCCGGGCTCTGAAGATATGTTGTTTGGTGGTCCCCCTCCCCCGTGTTTCTTACACCACTATGTCTCTGCTGACTTCTTTCTTAGGCTCTCATGTGGACTGGTAAGGAAAGTAATATTCCAGCAGCCCCAGGTACCTCCACATAGTTGAGAAGACAAGGTGGAGGGATGCTGTCGTGGACCAATCACCATGGACAACTGTGGAATGCAGTTCAAAATACAAACCCTGAGCCAACCGTGGTGACACATGCCTTTAATCCCATCACTCAGGGAGCAGAGGCAGGCATCTCTGAGTTTGAGGCTAACCCGGTCTACATAGCGAGTTCTAGGACAGCCAGGGCTACACAGGGAAATCCCGAGTCACAAAAACTTAAATAAATAAATTCAGGCCTAATTATTTAAATTCCAGTCCTGGGGCAAGAAACTTAGTCTGTTGGATCCTTTTCCACCCACTTACAAAATGAGGGTAACATTCAGATCTGAGTTTCTGTAAAAATTAAAGGAATCAAGTGAGTGGACAGGGATGTAGCTCTGTCATGGGACACATGTGCTTAGCATGTGCAAGGCTCTGGGTTCCATTGTCAGCATCATACACATGAGTTAATCAGCTAGGGACTGGAGAGATGGCTTAGTGGTTTTAAGTGTGTGCTGCTATTGCGGAGGAGCAGAGTTCAGTTCCTAGCGCCCGTGTCAGGCAGCTCACAACCATGTGTAACTTCAGCTCCGAGGGATCGAGCTATCTCAGGCACCTGCACTCGTGTGCATGTCTCTTAAAAATGAGTGCATAACAAATAAATAAATGAGCTCACACGCAGATAGCTACCCATGGTTCCCGGGGAGATAGTGGGTGCTCCGTGAAGGTGATCTGCAGCCGTCCATCGTCATGCTTGCTAGTTTTCATTCATCTTTCATGTTTTGCTTTGTTTTATTTCCCCGTCATTTTATAATGGAAGCTTGACGGTTACTTCACCCATGGGGCAGTTTCTTCCTGAGTCACAGGGTAGTTAGGACCACTGAAATCCACTGTCCTCTTGACCAGACTCCGGGTTTCCTTTCCCTCAATGGCATGTATGTCCGGCCTTCAAGTGCCTAGAGCTCTTTGTCTTTCCCTTGGGTTGATGGCAAAGGGGGAAGAGAGAGGGCTGAGTCTGGTCTTGTTCCTCGCCAGGCATGGCTCTGCGAAGGCTGAGGAGACAGCCCACATGGCTCCCTTCCACTTTGACCTCTGGTTCTACTTCACACTGCAGAACTGGGTTCTGGACTTTGGCCGCCCCATTGCCATGGTAAGTGTGAGGCTGAATCCTGTGAGCATGGAGGGGACTTAATGGGATCTCAATTTGCCAAGTGACCTTACGGACATCACTTAGGGAGAACCCAGAGGCTCTTACATTCTGTAGTTGTGTGTCTGGTCAGTCACGCGAGTGAGAGAGCCTGGGTGGGTCCCGATAGTCATCCCGCGAGGTAGAGCATAGCTGCCACCCTCCCTCGTTGGGATAGTCTGGGGGTAAAGCCCACCAACTGAATTTGCATATTGTAACTGACCAAAAATAAAGTCACTTCCAAGTAGAGAGAGTAACATGTAGAAATCCCAAAATAAGGAAGTGTTAGACTTTCCTGAGGGCTGGGGCGTACCCTTCCACTCCTTTCTATGTTTATGGAAACGTATATAGAAATTCCTTTTTTTTTCTAACCAAAAGGATATTTTGTTTTATGCATTATATTCTGCACCATGATTGTTTTACATTAGAATATATCGCTATAGCAGTGGTTCTCAACCTGTGGGTTGCGACCCCTTTGGCAAACCTCTATCTCCAAAAATATATACATTATGATTTATAACAGCAGAATTACAGTTATGAAGTACCAATGAAAACAATTTTATGGTTGGGGTCACCACAACACGAGGAACTGTACTAAAGAGCATTAGGAAGGTTGAGAACCACTGCTCCAGAGCAATCAATACATACAAATTGTTGTTTCTGTTAATGGCAACTTAGCCTTCCGTGTGTTATAACGACCTGTTTGAGCTACATGGTAAGACCCTGTCACAAGACAAAAACAAACCTAACTGCTAAACACTTCCAGCAGAGTGACAGGTTACAAAACTAACATAGCCTTCCTCCACACCAGCTACAAACAGACTGGGAAATCAGGGGGACAGTCCCATTCACAGGAGCCTGAGGATTTCTGAAAGAAATCTAATCATGGAAGTGAGGGACCTACATGGTGAAAAGTGCAGACTCCGCCTGCTCTCCCAATTCAGCAGAACCAAAAAGATCTTAATAGGATAGCGCATTTTTGGTTTAAAAAAGACTAAGGGAAAAAGAACCTTTTTCAAATTAGGAAAGAGTTTAGATGTGTTTTGTCCTAAGATAAAAGATTAAATAAAATATAAAACAGTAAAAAAAAAATTACTACGACACTCCCTGGGTTTCTGTGTATCAAATAGGACTAGAAACAGTCCATTTACTGTCTTCGGGACTTCGTTTCTCTCTCTGGCAGTCCTTTGGGCCTAGGGCTTCCAAGAGAACACAGGAAGAGCTCAGTGTCTGTGAGGGGGGCCGGTGTCCAGCGGCCTGCAGGCCTTTCTGTTAAGCTCATGCCTTCTTCCCTAGTTGGTGTTCCCACTCCAGTGGTTTCCCCTCAACAAGCCGAGTGTCGGGGACTACTTCCACATGGCCTACAATGTCATCACGCCCTTTCTTCTGCTCAAGGTACAGACTGGCCTGTCTCCCCCCACCCATCCTCTCTGGTCACACACACACACACACACACACACACACACACTACATGAGCTGGTGAGCTGGCTTAGGGTGCTTGCTGCCAAGCCCGATAGCCTGAATTTCATCCCCACGTGACGAGAAACGACTTCCACAAATCCTCTTCTGACCTTTACGTGTGGACCTATGTAAATACATGTGCAAATAAATAAATAGGTAAATGTTTCTTCAAAAATTTAAATATGAAAGACGTTTCGAATCTCTAAAAGTAGGAGGGGCATTACCTCAACACAGTCACCCCCATTTTGGACTCCCTGACATTTTCTTTCTGCTTGCTGGGGACCTGTCATTCAAAAATTAGATCCCAGCAGCATGCTGACCCACCCAAGGCACACACAGGTCACCCTGGGGTAGTGGTAGGGTCTGGCCTGGTCAGAACTCCTGCCTTGAAGGTCTAGTATCACCTCCAACACTGTCTCCATCCTCCACCCTCATCTGATCTTCCTGGAGAGGAAGTGTCCTTCAGCAGACCCTGCTAGGATGTCCCACTAAGGAACCCACAACCCCCAGAGGGACTTTCTATCCCACTTGTCTGAGGGAAGGGAAGCAGAGGTTTTCACACATTGTCATGGAGTCGGGGGACATGCTGTGGACCTCATTCTGAACCCCAGCTCATCGAGCGGTCCCCCCGCACGCTGCCGCGGTCTATAATCTACGTCAGTATCATCACCTTCATCATGGGAGCCAGCATCCACCTGGTGGGCGACTCTGTCAACCACCGCCTACTCTTCAGTGGGTACCAGCACCACCTGTCCGTCAGAGAGAATCCCATCATCAAGAATCTCAAGCCAGAGACACTGGTGAGGCTGCCCCCCCTACTCTACCAAGGCTGCCTGCTGGGTGTCTGTACTTGGAGACTAAAGAGGCTCCCCAGCCAGTCATCATGTCTCAGGTAGCCCAGGCTGACCACAGATTCTATTAGTAGCCAAGGAGGACCTGAACTCCTGATCCTCCGGCCTCTGCCTCCTGGAGTGCTAGAATTACAAGCATGCAGCTATGTGAGGAAACTTAACTGTTGCCTACCCAAAATAGTATGTTCCTAGACTGTAAAGGGAAACAGTTCTGTCTGGATGTGGGCACATGTTCGAAACCTTAGACTCAGGAGGGAAAGAGAAAGAGGATTGCTACAAGTTCAAGACCAACCTGGTTTATATAGTGACACTATCTCAAAAAAAAAAAAAAAAAAGGAAGGAAGGAAGGAAACTGGTACAGCAGGGACTGACTCCCCGTGGCCCCTCTGGTATCCTAGGGAGGGAATGAGAATGGTGTGTGGGAGGTGGTGTTGGTTTCAGGTCTCAGCCCCCCCCCCCCTCACTCTGCTCCCCTGTGTTTTCTCAGATCGACTCCTTTGAGCTGCTGTACTACTATGATGAGTACCTGGGCCATTCCATGTGGTGAGTGAGGGGCTGACAGGTCTATGTGCCATCCAGGGCCCAGGCACCAGGAGATACTGGACAAGGCTCCCTGGCCCCAGGCCTCTGTATTGAGAGGAGCATCTAAAATGGAATTCTCAGCGAAAGCGCTCTGGGTGGGACCCCTGGTCAGGATGACCCAGATACTTTCCATTGGCCCAAAGGGGACCTCCTATTGCCTCCTCCCTACCTGAAGTTTCCACAGTAACCACTAGAGGGCAGCAGGCAGGTGGCTGTCCACCTTAGCCACGTCTGGGCTTGGGGTTTGGGAGGGAGCCTTGATAAGCACACTAGAATCTAGCGACTCGATGGTTTCGGGTGGGATGCAGGAGACAGATGGGGATATAGGGAGTGGAGGAGAGCCTCTAGGACCTGGCTTGGGTGGCACAATTTGTGTTTCCCATCTTAGAACTCTTGGGAGGGGCAAATCCTCACCACCACCACCCGCTGCTACTCTCAGGAAAATCTCAGAAATATGGGGTTAAAATCAGAGACTCAGAGCTCAAATAAGGGTTTCTCTGCCACCCCTCACCTTACACTGAATAAACTAAAGCCAGAGGGAGGGAGGTGATGGGCTAGCTCTGTCTAGACGCCTCATCCGGACTGAGGTGCTTCCCTCAGCATATGCCCCACACTGGTGTCTGTGGGGGTGTCTGAGGTTGTGGAGGTGATCCTTCTGGCTCGGAGGGTGCTAGGGGACCTCTGCACAGGCCTCTTGCCAGTTCCTCCTGACTCTGCCAGATGCCCCTTCCCATTGGAAGCTGAGAAAGAAGGAGGGAGCTGGAACAGGCCTGGGAATTCAGGAGAGGGTGAGGGAGTGGACTGAGTGTAGAAGAGTGTGGGTGTCATGTGACAGAAAAGGGTTGTGTGTGCAGGAGAGCATGAGCCTCTGTGTGTGTGTGTGTGTGTGTGTGTGTGTGTGTGTGTGTGTGTGTGTCTGCTGGAAGCAGAAAGGGAGCCCCATGTGGGCAGGAGAGAGGCCATACTCTTGGATGAGGTGGGGACTGTTGGCTGGGTGTGAATGAAGGGCCCCACAGAGCTCCCTGGGATCTCCCAGAACTGTATTCTCTCCGACCTCAGCCCTGCTGGGTGCTCCATTTCCAGACTAGCATTGTACTCGACCTGCTGGGATCTAAAGCACATGGGTTCAAGACAGAGCCCCACATCCCCTCATATCCATGTGGAATGAAGGGCAGGGTGGGTACCGGATTCAGAGAGGGAAACCAAGCACAGTGTGTTTGCCATGGCGCCCACACCCTTCACCTTAGGACTTAACCCAAGGAGCCTAGGACCCTTCTTCGCACCAGCAGAAGCCTTTTGGTTTCTGTTCCTCCGTCCTGGACTCCCAGGGCAGGGAAGGCTGAGTGTAGAGGAGTGTGCACGGCCTGTGCCAAGGGTTTGATAGGCCATGGGGTGACATCCTGTGTGACAATGCAAAGGATCAGTGGAAAGGTGATGAGCCACACCCTGGCCAGGCTTTGAAAGCTGTTGCCTCTCCGTCACAGGTACATCCCCTTCTTCCTCATTCTCTTCATGTACTTCAGTGGCTGCTTCACTACCTCCGAGACTCAGAGCCACATGCCAGGGCCTGCCCTGCTCCTGGTGGGGCCCAGTGGCCTGTACTACTGGTGAGTGGACGTTGACTCCTGGGGTGGGACAAAGGGCACAGGCACTAAATGAGCCACCACGATAAGATCCACAGACAAACAGCCCTGGGTGTGACGACCCTCTTCTGTCATCTTAGCACTTGGGAGGTGGAGGCAGGAGGATCAGGAGTCAAAGGTTAGCATTGGCTACATAGTGAATTTGAGGCCACGCTGGGCTACATGGATCCTGTCTTAAAAAAAAAAAAATCACAGGCCTGCAGTGTGACTCCAGGTAAGACTTGCCATGCCTAGGCCTCTGCTTCCTCCTAGATTGAGTGAGGCCTGTGCCTTGCAACAGCTTCTCTGAGATCAGATGCTCAGCACTAAGTAGACAGTGAGAGACAAGAGGCCATCCACCATGCCCTACTTCCCAGCATGCCAGCACCACTTTGAGGCCAGGTGTCTACCACTAGCTTCATGCCTTGTGAGTCCTCCTGAGCCTGTTTACCTCTCTGAAATGGAAGTTACACCTGCCTGTCCCCTCTCAGGAGATGTTAGGATCCAGTGGGGAGACAAGATGACAAGGACAGACCAGGGGGAGTCTCAGCCTAGCCCTGCCTCTCCTGAGGTTCCTTCTGCACTCTAGACTCTCCTCTCAGACCTCAGCCAGACCCTTACCTTCCCATCATTTCTTCTTTTGAGACAGGGCTTCCTCTCACTTACACCCAAAGGGCTGTGGGATTACAGGAAGGACCCAGAACAACTGGGCCCACCTTGGATGGGAAGCCCCCTGCACATGAAAAAAAAAAAACAACTCTTTCTCCTTGGGCCAGCTCTAGCCATTTCCAGGGCCTGTCTAGCCTGCAAGAGGGCCCTCTAGGGCTAAGCTATATTCTCCCTGAGGATAGGACTAGGGATAGTGGCATCTATACAAGGGAGAAAGACTTGACCTGGGCGTGTTCGTTGCCACGGTCTTACCTTAACATGTCTGTGCAGCCGTGGTGGAGTCACAACAATGCACCATTCACTGAACAATGTGCTTTCCCGGCTAACAGATGCACACAGCCTTGTGAGACCCCCTTAAGAACTGAGGCTGTTTATGCTTCCCTCATAAGAGACGAAATGGCCTTGATGTTGTCTTTCAGAGTTGTCACTTGATGTCCCCAAGGTGCCAGGCCAATAGGTTGCAGAGCTGGAGTTCCTTATGCCTGGCAGTGGTGGCGCACGCCTTTAATCCCAGCACTTGGGAGGCAGAGGCAGGCGGATCTCTGTGAGTTCGAGGCCAGCCTGATCTGCAAGAACTAGTTCCAGGACAGCTAAGACTGTTACTCAGAGAAACCCTGTCTTGAAATGACAGTGGCCCAGCCTCCAAGGGGACAGTAATGACAATAGCCTCCATGTACTGGGATGGCAACCCCAAACTCAAATGTCTCCAGAAATGAAGCAGGTAGCAGATGAGGCCCCAGGAAGTGTGGGAACTGAGGCCATGTACGTCATGATGTTCTCTGCAAAGAGTATATCCTGTTGCTCCTCCAGAGCCAGTTTTGGTCATGTGGAAGTGTACTTATGTGCTGAAATGCCAGAAACCAAAGCCAGGGGTCTTCTGATTCTCAGTGTGTAGTCTTGGAACTTGCTGTGTGATAACCAGAGACCCTTGCCTCTGCCTTCTGGGTGCTGTATAAACGTGTGAGCCACCACACCCAGCTGACTATTATTACTATTATTATTATTATTTTGAAACAGTGTCTATGTAGTCTTGGCTGTCCTGTAACTCACTATGTAGACCATGCTGGCCTCAAACTCACAAACATCTGCCTGTCTCTGCCTCCCTAGTGCTAGGATTAAAGACATGCGCCACCACCACCTGACTGTCCAGTAGAATATTATTAAACCACTTAAAGCCAAAGTAGTCCGATGCCTCCGGGCTATGGTTTAGACTGTCCTGGCACATTGGGTCCTCTCACTAGGAGAGCCATTCTCATTGCCGGGGAGGACAACCTAGCACTTGGTCCAGAGGGAGAATAGGCAGGATGGTGTTGCCCTGGCGCCCACCTCACCTCCATGCCTCTTTCTCCAGGTACCTGGTCACCGAGGGCCAGATCTTCATTCTCTTCATCTTCACCTTCTTCGCGATGTTGGCTCTTGTCTTCCACCAGAAGCGCAGGCGCCTCTTCCTAGACAGCAACGGCCTCTTCCTCTTCTATTCCTTCGCCCTCACCCTCTCCCTGGTGGCACTGTGGGTTGCCTGGCTATGGAATGACCCCGTCCTCAGAAAGAAGTACCCTGGTGTCATCTACGTCCCCGAGCCCTGGGCCTTCTACACGCTCCACGTCAGCAGTCAGCACTGAGGCTCCCTGGGAACAACAGGCCGTGGATATTTGTACATGGGTGCATATGTGCATCGTGGTAATGGGGGCTGTGCACTGTGCCCTGTGCACAGGGATTGGCAGAGCGCATTGTTGAGAGATTCAACTGTTTTGATCAGGGTCTTTTGTTTCTTTTTTGCTTTGGACTTAAGATGGAATTTAGTTTGGGGAAGTATATGAAGGCCAAGATCCTGGCCCCTGCCCTCCCTGTATTTCACCACTATTAGAGGTGCCTGAGTAACACTCCTATCTCCCAAGACCAGGCTGGCCTTCTGGAGATGTCTTCCGGTGGACCATGCAGGTGAGGTCTGGTCAGGACAGAAACAGAAGACTCTGCCACCTACCCAGAAGCTGGCTAGCCCTGAAGCCACCTGCCCCTTGACCCTAGGTTTCTATGTCAGTGTCTAGGCCACAACTTCTGTTCTTTGAACAGAGCATTTCCTTCTCTGGGCCTCACTTGTTTTAGAGGACCCGGTGGTCCCCAAGTGGCTCCATGGACTGGGGGTTACTGATTCCGCTGGTGCAGCCTCAGCACGGAAGAGTGGTTCTGTCTGTTACTGTGTCCCCACCCTCAGCCTAGTGGGGCATGTTCCTCCCATTCTTGTCCAGCCTCAGACCCCACTCACACACTGCTGAGAACCCAGTCTCCAGGCAGCCAGAGGCCCAGTCACTTAGCCATTGAACTCTGGAAACCGGCCTGGGTTTTGAACTACATGGAGGACAGACAGAGTTCTCAAGGCCTAGTTTTATAGATTCTGAGACCCGTTGAAGGGTCTGGGACGTTACAAATCTGTCTCTCAAGACATCGCATCTCAACCTGAATCTCATGGCAGTTCCTGCCTCACCCTAGCCCACCTCCCCCCAGGCCTCAGATACAGGACTCCATGGCACACGATATCACCAGCTCATTTGACAGCCAGCACTGGCCTGTGCTGGGAGTCTTGGGGACCTTCCTACTGTTCATTCTTTCCTTTTGCTCTCAGGGAACACTGGGCCTCAGATTCTTCTATTTTGTTGTGATCCTTTTACAGGCTAGACCATGCTGAGTGATGAGAGGGCTGAATAAAGGCTGGTGTGGAGCCCAGCCTGGCTGGTGGCTGTTTTACCTTCGGGGGTGTGGTGGGGAGGCAGGAGGGAGTTCTGGAGTAAGGAGGGAGACTGGTTGGTCTGGGGCCTGGACTGTAGGGTATGAGGCTTTCTCTCAGTAGGCCTTGAGGGCCCTCTCACTCCCACCTCCCATCTGCCTACCACCTAGAGCAGTGGTTCTCAACCTGTGGGTTGTGACAGTCAGAAAACTCCTATTTCCGATGGTCTTAGGAACTGAGAAACCACTTTGCAAATTACAGTTATGAAGTAGCAGCAAAAATAATCTTATGGTTGGGGTCACCACAGCATGAAGAACTGTGTTAAAGAGTCACAGCTTTAGGAAGGGAGAGAACCACTCACTTAGAGTGTGGGTAAGAAGGATTGCTTCCCAGTCAGTACAGTGTTCCTCAGAGCCTAGGCCGGTCATGAGGGGAAGTAGAGCATCCCAGGCCTATCACTGGGGTTGTCCCACCACCAGTCATCCCCTGTGCTGGGAGGCAGTGGAAAACTACTCTGTAGGAGGTGGCCCTGAGCCTCAGGCAGGCTGACTGTGCTCTTGGAAGCCAAAGTTCTCAGGCTGGCCACACCTCACCAGACATAGGTAATGTTACCAGAAGATAGAGTGGGGAGCATGGCTCCACCCACAGTCTGTCGCCCCTGTCTCTGCTGACCAGCACATTCCTTACCTACCTCCAGGATGCTGCCATTTCAGGACTGTAGTAGGAGGTCGATTGTTTGTTCCTGGCTGCTCAGCCCTGAAATAACCACACAGAAATCATATTATTTGCAATACTGTTTGGTCAATAGCTTAAGTGCATTTCTATATAACTCATATCTTAAATTAACCCATCTCCATTAATCTGTGTATTATCACAAGGCTGTGGCTTACTGGGTAAAGTTCCAGTGTCTGTCTCCAGTGGGGCTACATGGCTTCTCACTGGCTCTGCCTTCTTTCTCCCAGTATTCAGCTTAGTTTTTCCCACCTAGCTCTGTTCTGCCCTGCTCTGCTATAGGCTCAAAGCAGTTTCTTTATTAACCAATGGTATTCACAGCATGCAGAGGGGAATCCCACATCACCTTCCCTTTTCTGTTTAAATAAAAAGGAAGGCTTTAAATTTAACATAGTAAAATTGTATATAATAAAACAGGTATCAAACAAGAATTACAGTTACAATATATCTACTTTATCTTTTATCATAATTAAGAAAAACTATAACTATTCTTCAACTCCATTAAAAGTTCTAGAAGGATATAATATTACCTAAGTAAACAGAAAGTGCATTGCAAGCAACTTCCAAAACTCTAGAATTGACAGAGACATCTTGCTGCCTGGACAGTCAACCAAAGTTCTTCTGTAACGTTGGAGCATCCATTTTCAGCCTGCTGGCCCATAGTACTCAACAGACTTTTCCACAAAGCAGAAAATTTCAAAGACAGTTCCATCTATATTGACAGTTTGTCAGTCACTTTGTTCTATGTTCTGCAAAATGTCTTGCAGACTCTTTCATGAAACAGGAACCCTGAAGGATGTTCTCACCTTTAGGAAAGTTCAGCAGTCATTTCTCTGCATGTGCAGTTCACACAGCATAACATCAAGCAATCCAGGCAAGAGCAGTTTCTTGCCCAAATGGCTAACAAACTCCATACAGAGCCTCTTTGATGCCCATCTTTCTCTTGAAGTTATTGGGGCTGCCAGGAGCAGATGTGTCTCATTGTCATAAAAAGTCTTAAGTTCTTAAAACATTTTAAATGCCATATTCTGTAGTCTTTGAAAGGTTTGAAGAATGCCTATCCATCTGAAATACATCTCTGTATATCTATAAAATCTAAATAACATGACTACAAGCTTGACTATTATAGATGATTATCTATTAACCTATATTTCTTAATTATACCTTACATTTTTAAATGAGCTTGACACAATACCTTAATCAAGATCAGAAATATGTATATACAGTATAATAAAATTGACCTTAAATTTGTATCAATAAACCAAGATCCATACCCATGCAAATCTCTATTGCATATCCCCCTTTAAATGTAAACATTTATAAACAATCATTTAGGGAATTTGGGTGTAGTTCTCTCCAAACTGCTTCCTGCTTTTTGTTGGGCAAAATATTTTGGGGGGTGTTCACCTTTCTGAGGGGTCTTGGTACATCAAACCACATTAGTCTGGAATTAATCCACAGGTTCTCATCTGTTGAAACAAAAGAAGAACCTCTTCTCCATCTCCAAAGTGACAAATCCTTAGACCCAAATTCTGAAGACAGGATACCTTTAAAATATCTATACTGGTTTGGCTCCTTCACTGTCAAAAAATTCAAAGAAAACAAATATATATAATCCTGACTTTCTGTGTATATTCCATCTTTATGTGACTTATTTTTCTTACTCTTACTTTTTCTACAAGTTTACTCTGTCTCTTTAAAGATTTTGTTTTATTTTTTAAAAAAACATTTACTTTTTTAAAATAACTTTCTATACTCTTTTTCTTCTTTCTCTGAAGCCTATGTACATTCATCCATCACTGTGACACATTTAGAGGTCATTGGTATCTGAGTTTGTCTTTATTGCATATCTGTAATTCTTTTCTGACCAGGACTGCTTCTTAAAGTGCTAAGTGCTTCTTAAAAAAATAAGTGGTGGCATTGCTAGGGCAAATACGGCCCTGCCTGCTTGCTTTGCCCAGTCTGACATAGCAGGAGTCTGTTCACTGTCTCTGAGCCTGCTGGGTGAGAGCCTTTCTCAACCACCTCAACTCTGATAACCAGCTGGTTCATGCTGCCACCAAGTCATTTGCAGCATGCTGCCCACAAACCCCATTTAAATGCTTGGCCTCCTGAAAGCCAGAGTTCACACTGGCAGCTTGGTTCAAAAAGCTGCCATTTCATTGTGTGGCTTTTTTTCTGCTACTGCTGTATCAGGAAAACCTCTCTTAAAGGAGCTGTGTTAAACTCTTTGTGTGTGTGTGTGTGTGTGTGTGTGTGTGTGTGTGTGTGTGTGTCTAGAATTCCTTTTTAAGCTCTCTTAGGTTTTAAGTGGATTTAGTTGACTACATTGGCATGCCAATTTTATGGTTTCTGTGTGATTATTTCGGGGCTGAGCAGCCAGGAACAAACAAACAGCCTCTTACTACACAGGACTATTATCAGAAGATCTATACAGTGAGCTCATAAGCAGGGACAGGCCTGGTTTGTGGACAGGCCTGAAGACTAGACATTTTGGGGAGCCCTTAGTAAGAAAACAGTGGAAATTTGGGCAGTATGTAGGCCAGAGGACAATCTCAGGTGTCCCTTAGGAACACTAGTCAGCTTGTTTTTTGAGACAGGCTCTTTCATTGGCCTGGAACTTGCCCATCACTGGCCAGTGGACTCCAGGGATCCCACAGCCTCCTCTTCCCCAGGTCTAGGTTACAAACATGTGCCACCACACATGACCTTTCTAATGTGACTTCTGGGGTTAGAATTCAAGTCCTTGTGCTTGCAAAGCAAGTGCTTTACTGACTGAGCCATCTCCTCAGCCCTAAGGAAATATTTAGAAATATTTACCAAAGTAAGTATTTAGGAGTAGCAAGTGCTGAAGCCACCGTGTGCCTCTTGGGCAGTTGACTAGGGATGTCATCCTGGAAAGCTATCTAGATAGCAGCCTGGCTTTGCTGACCTGGATTTCTACCAGCAAGTTTCTAGAAAACTGGTTCCCAGAGTATGTCAGGTTATGGGAGAAACCAGGAAATGGGGATGGGTCCTGCAGGCCAGTGTGATGTGGGCTCCTTTGGGTACCACCAGTCCAGGCCCTGGCTACCCAGTAAGGCCCCAGCCTGGAGCTACAGCTTCCTCTGGAAACAGGGCATCTTGACCTCCTCCCCACTCCAGATTTGTGCCTGGTGGAACCATGAGACCCTGGCTCCTTGCTGCTCAGGTGTAAGTGTGCAGCCCGTGTGACTTTACGAGACAGTTGTCATGGTACCATGAACATGATGGTTGAGAATAGCACATGTTCATATGCTCAGTTCTGAGGGTGAGGTCGACAGAGCTGTGTTCTCATAGGCTCTAGAGGATGCTTCTCTGCCTCTTCCAGTCTGTAGGGGGACCCAGGCTATCACGGGTGTTCTGGGCTGTGTGCCCATTACTCATGGCCCTCCCTGTGTGGTGTCTGAACACCTCTCCTTGAGTTAGGACCTACCCTACTCACTCCGGAGGACCTCAACTCAATTACATCTGCAGACCTGCTTCAGATACAGATGAAGACCTTTAGGCTGTAGATGGACATGGATTCTGGGCACACCAGTTAGCCCAGGAGAAGCCTAAAACAAAAAGGCACTGAGGATGGAAGTGGGGAGAGCAAAGTCAAAGGGCAGCCTCTTGCTCTTCCACATTTCACCCAGCAGGCACATGGGAAGCCTGCCAAAACTCTCTCTTTCGGGGCAGGGGTGGGAGTAGGGTGGGCTAAGGACTGCCCTGTCAGCCCCCAACTGTGTGAAAAGCAGGGGCCCTTGGCTAGGAGAGCTTGGCTGAAGAACACAGTTCCATAAGAAAGGGACAAGAGGAAGGGTCTGCTGTCTGCATCTTTTCAAGGGGGAATTTTGGGAGACAGGGCTAGGATCAGGAACTTAGTCTCCTGTAGTACAGGCTGGCTTTGAACTTACTCAGATCCTTCTACCTTTAGCCTCTTATTGGAGTTACAGGCATGCATACTATGCTTTATGTGGGGCTGTGGATCGAACCCAGGGCTTGCACGCTGGCAAATGTTCTACCAGTTGAACTTTATCCTGAGCCCGCACATAACCTTTTCTAGACATTCCCTGCAGGCTTTTCTATGACTCTGGTCTAGGCAAGTGGTCTGAGTGGGGAGGAGGTGCCAGGTGCCTGAAGTCCCTTCCACAGGGAGGAGGCTTAGTCCAGAGTGTGAGATGAGGGAAGGGATCCGCCAGAAGCTGGTGATGCCCAGGGGAGGTGCCAGCCCTAGCCAGGAGGACCATGTTTCAAGAATAAAGTGAATACACAGTCCCAAGCTGTACTGGCACGGCTTTCTGGTCCTGTTCACGTGAAGAGTCGCATATGCAGAGTGTGTGTAGTCCACGTGCGGTCTGCCTCGGAGCAGCTGTTTTGAGACAGCTGAAGCAGCATGTGAGACATCCTCCTCGTCACTTACAGATAGAGGGAACCAACTGGGTGTGGCCGCAGATCCCTGCCGTGTACTTGGGAGGTAGAGGGGGTCGATCAAGAGTTCCAAGTCGTCTTCAGCTACGCAGTGAGTTTGAGGGCAGCCTGGGCCACGAGCTCTGTCTGAAAACAACAAACGGGGGCTGGAGGGATGGCTCAGTGAGCACTTCCTGTTTTCGCAGAGGACTGAATTTGGTTCCCAGGGTGGAATCTGCCTAGGGTGCATCTACCTAGGGTGGCTCTCATCTGCCTGGAACTGCAGCTTCAGGAGCTCTGACTTCCTTTCCTGGCCTCTGTGGGCTCCTGTACTCACATGTATACATAGACATGCAAACATACACATAATTAAAGGTATATTTTAAAAAGTGTCTTTCTGTCTGGTGGCAGCCATTAGGTGAGTCAAGGTGGGTGCATCTGAGTACAGACTACAAAGCAGTGATTCTCAACTGTGGCTTGCGACCCCTTTGGGGGTCCTGTGACTCTTTCACAAGGGTCACAGATAACCTGCATATCGGATATTTACATTACAATTCATGACACTAGCAAAATTACAGTTACGAGGTAGCAACAAAAATAAATATATAGTCGGGGTCAGCACAACATGAGGAACCGTGCTCAAGGGCTGCAGTGTTAGGAAGGCTGAGAACCACCACTCTAGAGGAAGAACAGGTCTGACGCGATGCATTTTCTTCAGGAGCCCGCTGCTAGTTGCATCACCCACTCTCTGTGCTATATAGGATTCCCTGTCCTCGTCGCCCCACCCCCAACCATACAGCAAACGGTAGTTTACGAGGCTAAGCAAAATGACATCAGATGCAGAACTTCATGTTCACAGGTGCAACTGCAAACACCCAGTTTCTTAAAGGCAAGCCTGACTGTCATAGGGCTAAGCCGCTAACGACTGCCCAGGCTTCAGTCTTGTGGAGAGAGCTGGACTCCCCTGCTGAGCTTTGAGAGTCCTGGATTCTTACTGGGTGGAAGGAGTCACATACAGATTCTTTGAGGTTCCCCCCAATGACCCACTCCATAAAATATCAGAACAAATCTCGACACCCATCGGATCTTGTCAGTCCAGTCCATTAGCACCGGGAGATGCGCGGGCTGCCATCTGCTGGCCACAAGAGTTGTGGTCTCTGAAAGGACTACAAAGTTCTGACAGAACTCTCCAGCTCCGTTACTGGTGATTTAAGTAATGTTTGTAAAATTTATGCCAGTAAATGATTTAGTAGAGTCTCTCTCTCTCTCTCTCTCTCTCTCTCTCTCTCTCTCTCTCTTTCTCTTTCACACACACACACACACACACACACACACACACACACACACACACCTCAAACAAAAAAGAAGGGAGAGTTGACAGGTGTCAGGGCCGATCCCAGTACCCATTTACTGAAACCCAAGAAAATGCCTTACCTGTCTTTGAGCCCTTCATAAAGGCAGGGTGATTATGGCCTCCTCCCCTTACTCTCTCAAGGCCGCTGAGGTGCACCGTCCAGTCTTCCCCTGCCATACCTTCCCCCATAGAGTGGAGTCAGAACCTCAAGATTCTCAAATCTACGAGTGTGAAAAGGTGAATCAGGAGAAACTTGGGGAGGAAAAACGTTCCACATGGAGGTGGTCAGGACCAGAGGGAGGCCCGTGTCCATGTGCCCTCATAGGAGTTAGCAGGAGGCCACGTATCACGTGCCTTCACAGCAGGAGGCCCCTCTTCCTCTGACACTTGCAGCCTTTGGCAGCCCCTGTTAGCTCCGTGTAGTCCACAGCCTGGGTGACCATACACAATAACTGGCAACTGGGCCAACCTGGATTTAGTGCCTTGCAGGCAAACCAGCCACCAGGTGTGGATGAGGGATGGAGGTCCAGATCGGTGTGAGAACCTAGTCATGTCCAGGGCTCAGTGGCAGTTCTGGGAGCCACCCATATTCCCCTGTCTCCCAGGGGAAGTGGGAGCAGCATAGAATGCTGAGAATCAGAGTCAGTGCGAATACAGGAAAGGGTGAAGAGAGGAAGGAAGAGATGGAGGAACTTCCTGCCTGGGAAAGTCACCCACTGAGAGGTCAAACTCCAAGGTGCCTGAGCAGCTAGCTAAGGGCTGGAGGTCCAGTTCCAGCACCCACCATCCCCAGCCCCCAGGAGGCAGAATTGGCTGTGTACTGGTCATTGGGTCCCAGCAGCCTATCACTATGGCATAATGTATCTGGTGAGGAAACAGGCACAGAGGAGAGGGAGGATTCGGATCCCAGCTGAAGACAATATCCTCAGTGTGTCCCCAGCTGCAGTGCACCCCCAAGGCTGTGTATAAGATGTCCCTGAGCCGGGCTCCTTTTGACAGTCTTCTGGAGAAATGGTGTGGGTCGTGTCTGGCTCCAACAAGGAGCCCAGCATAGCTTCAGAAGAGAGAAAAGGGCCCTAGACAGGCTCAGACCAGGACACAGAGTCAGTTGCACCCAGGGGCCCCTTTTCTAGGCTCCCAGGAGGGGACACTGGCATTTGTCCTGTTGTCTTAGAGCCTCGGCCTCCGGCGACAAGGACCTCCAGGAGAGTCTGTAATGGTTTCCTCTCAGTCAACCTTCTCAGGACGCTGGGCCAACCACTGCTCAGAGAAGGCCGGAATCTGACCCTCCTGGCACTGGGCCCAGTCTCCATGGCAGCAGAGGATTTATTTCAGGCCTCCACCCAGCCTGGTGGACTTTCGACTCCAAGTCAGAGGAAAGACAACCAAACACGGCTCCAGGAGCAAGGGGTGCCTGAAGATGGTGAGTGAGGAGAGGCGCTGGATGGAAGTAAGTGGGGAGGGCCCTACGGGAGTCCCCGCCTGATTGTTCTGTTCTCTGCTGCAGGCCAAGTTCCTTTCCCAGGACCAAATTAATGGTAGGTTGGGTTTGTTCTTTAATTAGTTACTCCCCACAAAATGTGTGTCTCATTAGGCAATTTGCTTCACTGGGTTCTGTTGGTAGGAAGGAAGGCCTGAGGGGTGGAGAGCTGGCCCACCCACAGGCTTGGGACCAGGTGGTGTTTGGGGGTGACCCTGAAGATGGACTTGCTGACTTCCTGGGGCTTGTTTTATGTCAGCGAGACTTTAAAGTTGGGTCATAGAAGAGAGCTTGCTAGTGCTCCTTAGAGCCTGAAAGTGGGTCTGGGTGGAGGCTGGTGGTGGTGGGTGAGGGAAAATTAACGTAGTAACTGAGGCCCTAGACAAAGGGACGGGGCTTTGTAGTCGGTGCATTAATGGGAACAGAAGCAGGGCTACACCCTTCAGCAGGATATTTCTTTATGAGCGAGCAGTAGTCTCTGTTAAACTCGGGGCTCGGTTGACACCTCCCACCTAACTCAGTGTGAGCACCTTGTTTTTAGGCTTCCTCCCCTGGAGCAGAGGTCTGCTTCCCAAGAACAGAAAGGCAGAATTGGGTTACACAGAACTTGGCCAAGACCTGGCCAGGAGTCTGGTGTTTGAGTATCTGGCAAAAGAGGCCCAGAGTGGGCCCCGAGTGGGCCCCGAGGAGTGTGCCCCTAAACCTACTCCAACAGAAGATGCAAACAGCCCCGACTTCTCCTTATCGGTGCTGAAATGGCACTTTTGTCAGTGAGAGAAAAACTGTAGGCTCACAGGGCCCAGGAAGCTCTGACGCAGGACAGTGTCCAGCAGGCCACAAGGGTGGCTTCTGTTACTCTGGCAAGGATCCAAGAAATATAAGTGACCAGAGCTTGGTCTAGAAGAGGGGGTGGCAGGGATGTGTCCTAATAGGGTCCATGTGGGTACCTTCTAGAATCCTTAACTCCTTGATTTGGGGACAAATCAAGGTCGAGGCCAGAGGGGACAGACGAGGGGATTTTAAAGTGCCAGGCCTAGCCCACATTTATGAACCTGGCAAGATAACTCAGTATTTAAGAATCTGTACTGCTCTTGCAGAGGACCCAAGTTTAGCTCCTAGCACATGTATAAGGACTGTCACAACCACCTGTAACTCCATCTCCCAGGGCATCCGACACTTCTGGCCTCCATAGGCACCTGGGTTTGCGCGCGCGCGCGCGCACACACACACACACACACACACACACACACACACACAAAACTAAAGTCTTTAAAGTTGGACCTAAGCTAAAGACCTCCTTCAACCTCAGAAGTTCTTCCACCATGCCAGGATGACAGACTAACTGGTCCTCTCTCCTATGACTTTTGAAACTATCAGAAAGGAGGAAAGCAAATTCTCTTTGTTTCACAGTATCTGATACCAAGAAGATGGCCATTAATGTTTAGTGACTGGAAGCCCAGATAGGGATGGGTGAGGAACAGGGCCTCTGGAGGCCGATGCCTGGTCGTTCCCCTGGGAGCCTCAGTTTTCTCATCTGAGAGGGAGGGGGCAATAATGCCACCTTATGGGGCTGCTGTGGGCAAGGGACAGAGGAGAGAATAGCATCACATGCTGAGCACTGGGCATAACAAGTTAGCTGATATTAAAATCAGGTATTATTAAAAGGGAAGGTGCCAACTATGTCCAGTCTGTGCAGAAGCTAAGAAGACAGTTTTGCTGCAGTCAGTAGCATGGAAGCCTTGAAAGGTGTTTCAGTTTAGGGGCGGGGGTGTATCTCGGTTGGTAGAGCACTTGCTTAGCATGCATTAAGACCTGGGTTCAATCCCTAACACCACATAAACTGGATATGATGATGTTTCCCTGTAATCCCAACATTCAGGAGGCAAAGGCAGGAGAATCAGAAGCTCAAGGCTAACCTGGGCTACATGAGACTCAAGAAAGCAAGAGGTTTCAGTTTAGTGCATATAATTCATACCATGGTGAGAAACAGTTCACTAGAGGGCCACTTACTCGATTTACCGGAAGTACAATCTCAATTTACTGGGAAAAGAATTACATTATTTCGTTAAATCGAAGCTGTGGGTTAACTAGGAATACAAGAGTGGGCAAAATTCACTTGTAATGTTGAGTTGGCTAGATAGAATTTATTCTATTTATTTAGTTAGCTTTTGTTTTTTGAGACAGGGTTTCTCTGGATAGCCTTAGATGTCCTGGAACTTGCTCTATACACCAGACTGGCTTCAAACTCGGAGATCTGTCTGATTCTGCCTCCCAAGTGCTGGGATTAAAGGCATGCACCACCACCTCCAGGCTACACAGAATTTATAATGGCGAGCACTGCATATTTTATTACGTGTGAATTGTGCGCTGCATATCCTCAATGCCTGTAAGGTGCATGGTGAATTATGAATGTGTTGGCACAGCTGTTAGCCATTTTCCCACATGAGCCCTTGGTACGATGGGAGGAGGCCTGGAGAAGGTCTATTTCCTATTTGTACAGTTTGCATATCTCTAAGGATTTTTAACCCAATGCAGTTACCTCAACGTAATCTTTACTTCAGCAAGTGTCCTTTCTCTGTGCCAGGCCTGCCCCAGGTGTTAAAAATTCAGCAATGAGCAGGAAGATACACCCCCCCCCCATTCTTGGAGTCACAATCGAGAAAAGTGAAAGACAGAATGGAAAGCAGTGAAAGAGGGGCGGCTAGACTAGGAGGATGGAGATGGGGGGAGCAGGGTCCTCAGGGGAGCCAGGGCCTGCCTGTGGGTCCAGGTGTCTTCTTATCTTCTCCCAGCACAGTGAGATAAGACTGCAGGTATCTAGGACTCACAAAACCTTGTGATGCAATACAGGGTCCAGCCAGAAGTGCCTTCTGGCTAACTAGCAGGGATCCCAGAGATGTAAAGGACCAGAGTTTGATCTAGAAGAGGGGTGGTGGGGTGGGGAGCGGGAGGGATGGCTCAGTGGTTAAGAGCATCTGAGTTACTTAGGTTCCCAGCATCTACACTGGTGGCTCACACCCACCTGTAACTCCAGCTCCAGGAATCTGGCTGTGCAGGTTTGAAGAGGTGGACTGGGTCTGGCGAGATGGCTCAGTGGATAAAGGCACTTACCGCCGCTAAGCCTGACAATCAGTTCCACCTGTTCACCCCACTCCCACATGGTGAAAGAAGAGAACCAACTCCCTCAAAAGATACCTCTGACCCCAAAACACATAGACACCAACTAACTAACTAACTAATTAACTAACTAACTAACTAAAATGTACTAATACATTAAGAAATGAAAGCAAAGGTGGATCTGTTGCACCTGGAAAAGAATACAATTTGTCCAGAGGGCCCTGTTACTAACTGGGGGAATGCAGTGTGCCTGCCTGGACAGCTAGCAAATCCTGGGCCCCTTTCTTGGGCTTCAGTTGCCTTCTTTGGGAAATGGAAGGGATTAGGGGATTAGGGCAGTTCACCCCACAGAGTCTCCATCTGCAAAGCTAGGATCTGTCCCAGGCTCCCAGGTGGCTTGGTTTTGCCTCCAGGGGCTGCTGGGAAGAGGCAGGGCAGTTCTGCCAGCTGTGTAACTGCGGTGGGCGGAGGAGGCTCCTGCGCAGGGAAAGAAGACTGCAGACCGAGCTGAGGCCGAGGCGGGCACTGCTGATGATCTGTGCATGCTTCCCAGCAGTTCCAGGTAGGGACCAGGACCTGCCAGAGGACAGCCTGAGGGCTGCTCATGTGATGTGATAGCACAGGCAGCTCCAACAGTAATAAATCCCCTCCTAGGAGAGCATCGTGGAACCACTGTCCACCACTTGCTTCTGGACGCATTCGGCAGGCAGAGGCTGGACAGTTGTATCAATTTTGCAAAGGTCCCGATGAGTCTGTCAGCCCTACCCAGCTTTCTTCTCCCTGGATAGGCCTGGAGAGAGTTTTTGAGTGGTATCTTAAGGAACAGAGAAGGAAAGGAGGGGGCTTCCTGGCTGGATAAACCACAGGATACCCCATGACATTTGGATTTCAGATAAACACTCTTTTTGAGTCTAGTACAGCCCATGTAGAATTTGATATGTGCTTGGTATGTGCTTACACTAAAAATGAATTCAGTGGGGGCTGGAGAGATGGTCCTTTCAGAGGTCCTGAGTCAGGTCCCCAGCACCTATGTGGAGAGGTTTATAATCACCTGTAACTCCAGCTCTAGGGCATCCAACCTTCTGGCCTCTTTGGCACCTACACACGTGTGGCATTCACTACTAGAGTCACATACATACAAATCAGTAAAAACAATGTATCTTCAACCTTTCTCAGAATTATATTTAACTCGGCAGTTTTATAGTTTTTATTACATTTATTTATGCACTGTGTGTGAGTGTGCATGTACTGTGGATGTCAGAAGCCAACCGGCAGGAGTTGCTCCTCTCCTTATACTGTGAGGGTTCTGGGGATCAAATTCAGGTCATGAGGTTTGACAGCAGCAAATACCTTTGCCAGTCGAGCCACCTTTGTTGCTGGCCCTTTGTTTTGCTTTTGAGACAGTGTCTTATATAGTCTAGACTAACCTCTAACTACTACATAGTAGAGGATAACCTTGAACTCTTGATTCTCGTGCCTTCACCTCCCAAGTGCTGGGATTACAAGCATGTGCCATCACACTGTGTTTTTATGGGGTTCTAGAAATCAGGTGGGGCAACAGAAAGGGAAGCGAACAGAGAGGAAGGGGGTGCTCAATATTACGGTGCCTATACAACATATGCAGTGGGGAGGCGCAAAGGAGAAAGGAATGAAAGAGAGGATGGGTGATGGAGTGACCATCTACTACTACTTCCTTCCCCGCTCTGTACAGAGTACAAAGAATGCTTCTCCCTGTATGACAAGCAGCAGAGAGGGAAGATTAAGGCCACAGATCTTCTGGAGTCCATGAGATGCCTGGGGGCCAGCCCCACGCCTGGGGAAGTACAGCGGCACCTGCAGACTCATGGGATAGGTGAGTGGGCTTTTTTTTGGGGGGGGGTGCTGGTTTTCGAGACAGGGTTTCTCTGTGTAACAGTCCTGGCTGTCCTAGAGCTCACTTTTATAGACCAGGGTGCCTTTGAACTCACAAAGATCCTCCTGTCTCCACCTCCCAAGTGTGGGGATTAAAGGTGTGCGTCACCTCCACTGGAATCCAGGTGGACTTGTGAAGGGCCTGGCTGGAAGAAGCAGATGGTAGTGGTGGAGAAAGCTCAGAAGCCTGAAGTGCTGGTGGTAGCGTGCCTCACCAGGACTGGGCTGTAGAGGTAGCTGGCCATGTATATAGTGTTTCATTCCACAGGGTCTGATGTCCCACAAGTCTGTCACAACTCCTAGGAAAGTACACTAACACTGGTCTCGGTGTTTTTTCCCCCTTTGCTTTCATTTTGAGATAGGCTGGTCTTGAACTCACCTTGTGTTAGCCCAGGGTGATACTGAGTTCCTGATTCTCCTGCCTCCACCCCCTGAATGCTGGGCTTACAGATGTGTGCTACCACACCCAGCTCCTATATTTATGGGGAAATAGTCTTTTGCAGAGGGTTTGGCATATGCTTAGTGAAAACATCCCATCTGTTTAAGTCTCCATGTCATTATTGGGGAGCTGGTGGTCCCACAAAAGGAAGAATGATTACATTTGAGAACGCCTGCTATATTTGGTGCCCAATTAATAGTTCTTCCTCGTCAGGACCGCCAGCCCATAAATAACAACATGGAGACTTATTATTGTTTTTTTAAATTTAATTTTTTTATTTTGAGTATTGGTGTGCAGGTGTTAGATTCCCTGGAACTGGAGTTACAGACAGTTGTGAGATGCCATATAAGTGCTGGGAATCAAACCTGAATTATCTAGAACTGCCAGTGCTCTTAACTGCTGAGCCATCTCTCCAGCCCCATGGAGACTTACTATTATTAAAGATTGACCTTGGTTTAGGCTTTTGTTCTAACCAGTTCTTATAATTTAATTGTTTCTATTAATCTATGTTCTATCACATGGTATCACCTCTCTTCCATCTCACATACACCTCCTGTTTCCTGTGTTTTGCTGGCAACTCTACCTTTCTTCCTCCCAGAGTTCGCTTCTCTTTCTGGAAGTCCCACTTATATCTCCTGCCTAGCTATTGGCTATTCAGCTTTTTCTTTTAATACCAATCACAGCAATACATATCTTATTCCACATACAAATATCCCACATTTCCCCCTTTTTGTCTAAATAAATAGGAAAGATTTTAACTTTAATACAGTAAATGAGAACAATTATCAGGTTAAAATTTACACTTACAATGTCCAGGCCATTTATATTTGGAATTTTGGAGAAAATACTCTATTGTCTATTCTATAGACAATATCTATATAGACTTTGGTGAGTCCAAAGTCTTATACCTAAACCACTTTCTATCATAACTTGTATTATCATACTAAAAATATTTTATATCTTAAAACAATTCCTTAAACAACTTAAGTTTTTATGTGTCTTAACTTGATAATTTCTTAAAAGATTTATTTATTCTGCCTGCATGCCTGCACATCACACCAGAAGAGGGCACCAGATCTCATTATAGATGGTTATAAGCTACCATGTGGTTGTTGGGAATTGATCTCAGGACCTCTGTAAGAGTAGCCAGTGCTCTTAACCTCTGAGCCATCTCCCCAGCCTGATATTGTTCTTATTGTATATAGTTTCATTGTATTAGAGTTAAAACCTTCCCTTTTTATTTAGACAAACGGGGAAATGTTGTGGGTATTTGTACACTGTGTGAAGATATATTGCTGTGATTGGTGTAATAAAAAGCTGAATGGCCAATAGGTAGACAGGAAGATGCCTACAGAACCCAGAAGAAGTTGGATATATGGGACAGAGGAAAGGTAACTGAGCCACATGATAGAATGCAGATTTTAGAAAGATTAATTAAGTTATGCGTTACAAAAAAAACCAAAGCTAAGGCCGAGCTTCATAACCAATAAGTCTCCATGTTGTTATTTGCAGGCTGGTGGTCCCAATGAGAAAGTACAATTACGCAGCTCCATCTGGTTCTATGCCATGATGCAATATTCTGGGTTTCTGCTGTCACTTTAGCAAGATTGGGGGAGGGATTAATAGACATAGTGTCTTAGGCTTTTTTTTCTTTTTCTGTTGCCATAAAATACTTTGCCCAAAGCAACTTAAGAATGGGTTTATTTTAGCTCATGTATCAAGGTAAAGTCCATCAGGGCTTGAAGCAAATGATTACATAGTAAGAAGGCAGCAATGATTGTGTGTATGCTAGAACTCAGCCCACTTCTCTGATATAGTTGGGGATCCCCTATTCTAGCTTCTCATCAAATGACATAATTCGAATGATCCCCCTCAGGTATGCCCATAAGCCTTTCTCATCGAAGTTCTAGATTCTGTCAAGTCAACAGTTAACACTATCACACACTGTTACTGAAGACGGTTGGGAGGATGACATGGAGACTTTCCATCCTGTGAATGTGGGTCAGAAGGAGAGCTTTGTCCCTCTTACCATGACCAGTGCCTTGAGAATTAGGTAGCTTTGGGGTTTGACTATGACAGTCAGGCAGGTCAGTGGGCTTCCCCAAGAGCAGTTTCCTCCAGCTCACTGGTGTTTGGGGTTTCGTAGACAAGCACGGAGAACTGGATTTCTCCACCTTCTTGACCATTATGCACACGCAAATCAAACAAGAGGACCCAAAGAAAGAAATCCTTCTCGCCATGCTGATGGCTGACAAGGAGAAGAAAGGTTACATCATGGCATCTGAATTGCGATCAAAACTCATGAAACTTGGAGAGAAGCTCACTCACAAAGAAGGTAACAGTCTGGCTGACTTGACTCGGAACCACCTGGGGAGGGTTAGGGAATTGTGGGGAGGGCAATGCTGTGTACTGATGAATGGCCCAGGAGCTCTGTAAGTATGAGTCATGCTGGCTAAGAGCTGGACTGGGGCTCAAGCAGAACCAGAGTGGACAGGCAGAAGTGGGCCAGGGTAGAGTATCGGCCCAGAGACAACCCAGTTGGGATCCTAGGTACAGCAGTAGCTGTTTTTATGTGATCAGCTGGAGCATCTGCCGGGACTCACCTTGCCACAGCTCTCATTGAGGGTCTCGATGTGGCCCAGGATGGTTAGACATACATGCAGCTCAACACAAAATCCTGCACTTACTTTAAACATTTTAAGTTTTTATTTTTTTAAAAGACCTTTGTTTACTGTGTGGTTATCAAACATCAACGTTTGTAAGTGATAATGCGTCAAAATGTCAAAAGGCCACAACATGGGCTGGAGAGATGGCTCCATGGGTAGCCTGTCCCACAAGTTTGGATCCCGGGAACCTGTGTAAAAAAGCTGAAAAGGTGTGTAGCTGCCCGTAATTTCAGCACTCGCACAGGAGGCAGGGCAGGATGACAGGACAAGCTGGCTAGCTAGACTAGGCTGAACTGTGGGCTCCAGGCTCAGAGAGACTCTGCCTCAAGAAAAAGTGGAAGGCCACAGGAGATAACAGATGTCAACCTCAGGCTTCATATGTGCTGGTGCACCTGCACACATGTGTGCACATACATACAAACAGGCATACACATGTACACACAAGCCACACACACTAAGAGCTATGACATAGACATACTGGCAACACAAGTGGCCCTTCAATTGATAGAAAGGGTCAACTAAGTGGCGAGTGGCTCTTGAATAGAGCTAAGACAGAATGCAGGATCCAGGAGCCCCTCATTTTCAGGGCTGTCCTCTCACCACAGCTGGCTCTGATATGGCCACTGATGGTGTTTCCAAATTGAGAGGCCATTGTGCTGTTTCCCCCAGCAGCCCTAGGAGTGGGGAGTATGGGAGCTTTTCAGGGAAAAGCTAGAGAAACCTGCCTTGGTCACAGACCATGAGGTGGTCTTACCTATGACATTCCTTGCATCAGAGCAGGATGAGAGCCTGGGAATTCTGGGAAAGCTCTAGGTACATGCTTGGGCTATTTGCAGTCTTTCCAGCCTGCCAGCACCCCGGTGAGGACACAACTGTGGGCCACGGTCTGCCCTTAGTCTGCATCGGTATCTCCAAAGCAAGGCTTTTCAGGTTGGCTGGCCAGCTTGAGGGCTTAACTTACGTAGTGGGTTGAAAAGGCCCCAATGCCCATAACTTATGGTCAGACTACAACTAACCAGTGCAGAATTTTCAGGCTATGGTTTGAATTGAGTGTGAATCCAGGCCCTTCCTTCAGGACCGTGGGATGTGTTTCTTCCTCTTGCTGCAGATGAGGTTGTAACAGCGACCCCTGGGGTCCTCCAAGAACTAGCATTCTATGGAGCAGCCTTCTCAGGTTTTATCTACACTCAGAAAGGTCCTGAGCAAAGCCTTTAAAAACGGTGCCTGGCAGGTAGATTTAGCTCCCAATTTCTCCCAGCTGGCAGCTTTTACTGCAACTGTTTTTCACGTGAAGGGGGAAAACTGGTCTGCCCTTATCTCAGACTCCCATGACACTGCTGGTGGAGTGTCCTCTGAGGTGACAGTCAGGTCCCTAGACTTCCCTCACACATTAGCATGCACAACACTCTGGGAAGGAGCTGATGGAGACTCATTCCCCCTCTGGCTGCAGTAGAACAGAAGATACCACAAGTAATAACTATTTCTCCTGCGGATTTGGAAGAAGAAATGCTTTGTTCGATTCTAAAGCATCCTTGGTATCAGTAGCACCTTCACCAGCTATCACTCAGCTGTGCAGTGTTGCCCCCTTCTGGTCAGCACTGGGCTGTGGAGTGCTGCCCCCTTCTCGTCTGTCACTGATGCTGGAGCTGATTCTTGGCCCGTCCTCTGCAGCTGGCAACCAACTGGTTGGAGGTTAGAAGCTTTTACATGAAATAAGATGCATCTGTCTCTTCAGGCTTAGAGCACCTATGGGTTTAAAAAGAGAACTACATTCTATCTATCATCTACCTACGTATCTATCTATGTACTTATCTATCTATCCATCATGTATGTATGTATGTATGTATGTATGTATGTATGTACGTACGTACGTACGTGACAGGATCTCACTATACAGATCAGGCTAGCCTTAAACTCTGAGATCACCTGCCTCTACCTGCAGAGTTTTGTGATTAAAGGTATGCACCATGATTTCAGGCTAAATTAGTATCTTTTTAAAAAGCAATGCTGCTTTCAGACAGATCTTATTTGGCAGCCATCGTGGCACAAGCCTTTAATCCGAGCACTTGAGGCAGAGGCAGGCTGATCTCTGTTGAGTTCCAGCCTGTGAGCCTAGTCTACATAGAAAGTTCTGGGTGTAATACCCTCTCAAAACAAAAAACCTAGCAGAATTTCAGAGAATCCATGTGGACATGGGTTAAATAAAATGTAAGAAAAAAAAATTTGTGTATGTAGCACTGGGAGGGTATGCTGTATATGTAGACGTACCTGAGGTGGGCAGAAGAGGGCATCAGATCCTTGGGAACTGGAGTTACAGGCAGTTGTGAGCCACCTACATGTCTACTGGGAATGGGATTAGGGTCCTCTCAAGAGCAGTATGTGTTCTTAATTGCTGAGCCATCTTTCCGGACCCTGGACAGTGCAGTTTGATGTTCTGAACTTCAGACGTATTTGGATTTTTGTGCATGTACATTGACAAGACACATTTTTCCGATTAATGCTAGGGATCCAACTCAACCCCAAGGTGCACATAACCCATGTGCTCTTCTCACCCACCCCTGTAGTGAGGTGATGGTAATGTAGCATGAGTCACTCTGTATTCTGTTGGCAGGTGAGCAGCGAGGGGGAGGTGGGTTGGTCTGGAGGAGGGGCGGGAACAAGCCTGAATCAGTGTGGATCCAGTGGAGCCTGGAGCTGTGGATGATGCCCATGTGACTGGAAGGTTGCAAGGGTGGGCTGTAAGGTAAAACAACCACACTAAAGGTTTTCTGAAAGACAGATGCAAGGGTTAAATGTTTATTTAAAAGAGTTTTGTGCTGGCTGCCAAGCATGCTGACCTGAGTTTGATCTCTGGAACCCACATGGTAGGAGAGAGTGGACTCCTACAAGCTGCCCTCTGACCTCCACACATGTGGCATGAACAATAACCATCCCCCCAATAAATAAATAGATGTTAAGAAATTTTACAATCAAGTACAAGGCAGCTTCAGTGACTAACTCCTCACCAGTATACTTTGTTCATGTGCCGGTCCTGCAGAAAGCGGAAAAGTTGAACTGGTGGTCTCTGGGGTCTTGGAAGCAGGTTATCCTTCTGTTTTGGTTTGCATCCTAGTCCATGGGAAGAGTCCATCAGATTCTCAGGGAGGGCTTCTGGGAACCCCTAACCTCAGCAAATCCAAAATGAAACATTAATGTGATTTATTGCAGTGGATGATCTTTTCAAGGAAGCGGGCATTGAACCTAATGGCCAAGTGAAATATGACACATTTATCCAGCGGATCACCCTTCCTGTGCAAGACTACTGAGAGAGCTGAGGTCCAGGGAGAAGAGGATGAGAGCTCCAGGGCCTGAAAACCTAGACTGATTTATTTTTTAAAAGGGAAATCTAGAGATGGCAAACATGGCAATAAGACCACGTTGCAGGGGATTAGTACCAATAAATGATGCAGTCATGGTATTCCTGTAATAAGAAGTCTGTATTGATTTTAGTACTAACATTAGTCTAGCCCTCTGCAGCATGGAAAGGCCTATGATTTGTAGTCAGGTTTGTGCGCCAATGCGGGCTCTGCAACTTCATTACCCTCACCTTGGGTAGACCATTGTGCTTCTCAAAGCATCACAAGAATGAAGATTATGACTTGAAAATGGTTGGCGACTCGGGAGCATGTGGAATTGGTGTTTCCATGGTAGTGTTTCTTCCAAAAAGCAAAACAATAGACCAGTCTGCTTTTGGGTACAAGAACCACCTTTGGCATTTCCAAGAGAAGGCTAGGGTTGGCTGGGAACAAGCAATAAGCAGAGTGTCTGTACACGCATGCACATAGAGAGCAACAAGCACAGATACACACAGAGAGAACTACGAGCAATGTGCACACAGATGCAGAGCAACAAGCCATAAAGCATGTACACACAGCCACAGTGACGAGCACAGAGCATGTGCACACACAGACACACCATTCCTTATAGCTTTACAAGCCCACCGATAAATCTCATTCCATTTCACCAGGCACACAAAGTGCAGGATGCTCTTTCATAAACAGGGATAAAGTGGAAACACACATTAGAATGAGTGTTAAGTGTGGGATCAGCTGAGTAGTGGCAGGTGATCCAACTTTATATTCCACACCAAAGGAAGTGAGGGGAGGCCTGGTCCCTTCAGAGGCCTTACAGAGTTAAGCAACATCGCTGATGTTCCTGGAAACATTTGCTGAAGCTGTACCCTGGGCCACTGTTAGGCTGCAGGAACCACGATGGTTTGCTCAAGTGACTTGGGGTAATCACAACTTTAAGTCATTTTCTTGGAACTACCAGGATAAGGGGATATACCAGGCCATGTCCCAATCTGAGAGGCCCTGAAATCAGAGTGGGAACCAGTGCTTCACCTAGAGGTCCTCATGTGACACACCAGCATAGGTGTGGTGTAGAACTCTGAACATGAGACCTTCAATCCTTTGTGGTAGGACTGGGTGTGGCTTTTTTCCTTAGTGAAAACAGAAAGACACATCAAGACATAGGTGTCTCCTGGGAAGTTTGACCAGACACACATATTTTACTAAGGACTAGGCTCTGGGAATACTCCAGGGGACCAAGCAGTGTCAGTCTTGATTCAGCTACCTCACAGATACTTTATGGCTCAAACCAAACAGAAGACTTGAGAAAGGAAGGCCTCATTTTCCTGAAAGTAGACACTACATGTTCCCTGAGCAGCCTGAATATAAGCAACCTGGCAGATTTCTTTAATACAAAAAATACTCTAGATAATAGTGGCATATGCCTTCAAAGAGGATTCTGGTCTGTGGCTAACATGATATACAAAGCAAAAGTCTATCTGGGAAACACAAAGAAAAAAATAAAGAATTTCTGGGCTGTTCAAGGGAGCCTGAAAGAAGCCAGAGCAAGTCAGAGCAACACATAGTAAAAGTCTTCATGACTGCCATGGTAAGTACTCCTGGGGGAGGCTGGACTTCCAAAGAGAAGGCCTATTTCCCTACAAGATGGGAAGGTTCCAGACCCAACACCCGACTCCAGCCATGGATTCAGAAGCACATCTGCTTGCCAGTCTAGAATACCGAAGACCTAACAGGTGCTCCGTGCTGATGCTGTATGTGGGACAGGGTGATGAAAAGTCTACCCTACCCAAGGTATCTCCCCAATGTGTTCTGAAGCCTGTCAGCAACTTTTTTTTGTTTGTTTGTTTGGTTTGTTTTTCGAGACAGGGTTTCTCTGTGTATTAGATGTCCTGGAACTTTCTCTGTAGACCAGGCAGGCCTCGACCTCACAGAAATCTGCTTGCCTTTGCCTTGCAAGTGTTGGGATTAAAGGTGTGCGCCACCATATCCTGCCTGTGGTGTAGATTTAAAGCAAGTTTTCTGAATCATATTTGGCTGAGTGGAATCTCCAGCACAGCTTGCAAAGAGCACACAGCTAATGGGCGGTCTGCATCACCTGGGTTGACTTTCCCCACTCAATGCTCTAGTCATGGTGGCAAAGTGAGCTCAAACTCCTGAAGCCTGATTCACACAGCCGTATCAGGAGGCTGTTGCTTCGGGGTCCCCACGTGTGCATTTTTCAAATTCCAACAGGTTTACCTAGCACCGGGCTTGCTCACCATAAAGAGCGGAGGGGCCCAGGTGTTTGAACAGCAGATAGACAACAAGTACCTTTAAAATTTAGGTGCTGTGGTTCATTACAGAGCTAGCTGTATTCCAGTAAAGAAGGTCAAAGCATGATGTAGAGGTATCTGTTACTTACTTGTCATGCTTTGAAACCCCTAGATTTCAGGGGCCTTGGGAGCATGTTGCACCAGCACTTTTCTTATAGGGACTGTTCCTTTATAGACCCAGTAGTTGTATTTTACAGAACACAAATTAACTGAAGCCTTTTCTTTTATTACATCTAAAGAGCTCTACATAAACAGGTAACATTCAATAGGGAAACAACTTTTCTCCAATGCATGTAATAAATATTTTCACTTGGTACTTTTATACAAACTGACATTGGTCTACTATACATTTTTAAAAGCCATTTTACTGGTTTGGCATGCGGTATGGAAATTCTAAGAGAGAAAGTTTTAAGGCAATGAATCACAGATTTAAGTTCATGGAATTTATGGTAACTTTTATCTATTTATATACATTTCCCCTTTGTTAATAAAACAACAGCAGCACACTCAGGGACCACCAGATATTCTCCCTCCCTCTTTGAAATCTATGCTTTGTGTTTAATTAAAAACAAAACCAAAACAAACAATGCAATGTGTATCCATAAAGCAAAGTTCTTACCAAAATAAATTCAAATGTGCTTAAGAGTCCTGAAGATCCTGAAAGTTTTATGTACTTAAAATTCAAATTGCTTTAAAAACTAGGTTATTTCTACATGTATCCATTTACAATTGGGATATATTTTCATTCAGTTTCATACACTTGTCCTCAAAGAAAAATTGGCCGAAACACTTCCCACACTTTTCAAAACTTAGGTAATTCTTTAAGTCAGTAATGTAGATGTATAATACCTAAATTAGCAATGGAAAAACTTTGGTCAACCAAGTATGATGCATGGTTAAGTTTTATATTAAAAAAATGTGTTCAGTAATACTTACGTAGTAAATTAAAAGCCACCCCTACCCTGCTAGTTGAACAGCTACTTTTCTGATGATGTGTGCTTACAGATAGATGGGGCACACACAGTACTATACAGAGCACATGTGAACATGCTAGTAAGAAAGACTAAGGATGGGGGTTCCTGAAAGATACTGAGAACAGTATTTGTCCACAGCCTATCAAGGTTGGCAGGGCTGTGGGATGAGGGTGGGCTGAGGAAAAACAACAAAAAGAGATGGAGTGACCATGCGCTTTTTCTTGTAAATGTATGAGACAAAACAGTGCATGACTAATAATTACTAAAGATCGTGAAAGTCCGTGACTAAACTTAACCACGTGCAATGTTTTAGGAAGTCAACAAATGAAGAACTAAACTCTTTTTGACGTGGAACGAACTAACATGACCAAAGCCGTGGCCATATATTTCTCACTGTTACCCACTCTCCCCTTAGGTTGATACAATGCAGGACATGGAAGGAAAGCGACCGTTCCTCCACAACTGGGCTGAATAATGCAGACGGCTGGTTTTTCAACTGGATCGTTCTAAGTTTGTAATTCAGCATCAGACACAAAAACTGTTGATCAGAATCCTAAAACCACTAACAAGTTAAAAAAAATCCAAGAACAAGGAAAACTATTCATTTCATCTCAGATAGTTGAAATAACAAAAATGTTTCCTATTGCAATGCTAACAGAAATAGCCACAATTTTATTGATTCCTACTCTAATCCCAACTTAGACACAAATTAAGACTTTATCTGAAATGAGCCTAAATTAATATAGCACTAGAAAAAAAAATCAAATGTGTACTCACCACACCCGATAAATTTAACAACGTAACCATTTCTGGTTTGAACTGACAACAAATGCCTTGTTTTATTGCGAATTGTTTTGTGACTCTAACACAGCCGTTTCTGTGTGGAACACACATGCGCAGGGGAAGACGATGTTACTCACACACACTTGTTTATAAATACATATATACACACACACACATATACATATCAACACCAACTTTTTCAAAATTCAAGTTGACAGTTTAGTAGCAGAGACGCTATAAAAACATATCATTTTTAGATGCCACAATGTCATGTGAACCATTCACTTTATCATACAACTGAAGATACAGCAATCTTGATTTCTACCTGCATTAATATAGGTCCTTCGTTACTGATGCAAGGTTTGAAAACAAGTTTACGATACACAAAGGAGGTCCTTCAACTCTGAGAACATGAAGTTGTAACATAAAAAGCCAGTCTGGGAACTGGATGGTGCGCCCCTTCGTCTCTGCCGATAAACCCGTGCCCTCCATCAGCCACCATCTATCTTCTCTGTAAGAGCACTGCATCCTCTCTGATGACTCTCAGTATGAGAAGCACTTTTTCCTTCCTTTGACCCTTAATCATCTCCTGAAGAAAATTTTAACATATTTACATATTCTGCTATTGAGAGTAGGTAAGACCAAGTAGATACGACTGACTGATTCTTGAATTAAAAAAATAATGGCTTCCTATGTCATACTTGTCATTAAAAGCTGTGTAAAAACAAACAAAGCTAAGAAAAGAAGTATATTTAGAACCAGAGAAACAAAGTAACTAAGGTTATTGTTGAGTTTCAACTGTTTATCAACCAGATTTGCTACAGATCACATAGGCTGCACTGTACTGTCAACTTTAGGGTAACTGACTTCTTTCTTTTTTGAGGTGGTACAACGTCCTCTGCCAGTTGCCCACAGGGCTTCCAGGGCTCTTTCACATCCCACTTTGGTATAAAGATTCTCAAAGAAAACTTGTTACCCTGTGATCAAAATGCAGGTACTCACAGACTTGGCTTACATACAAAATACTGGCAATTCAGA